GGAGGAGGAGGAGGAGGAGGAGGAGCAAGTCATTCCACCTTCGCCTTCTCCCCATACATCGCGCATCATGGATTGTAGCCAAGCCCAGTTCTGCGCTGGAGGATTGCGCTCGACGCTGCATGCCCAATCGAGGTGCCCCCTTGTCAAATGAAAGAATGAGACAACACAGCAGACGTGTCGATGATGGCGAGCCGCGTACAAGCCCCTACCTTGCCGCGCATCAGCACCACTCTGGCAAGCGCACGTTTGCAGAAAACGTACAGGCAAGTCGATCTGAGCGCATTGATTCGAAGTATTTGAACGGCCATGCGTGAAGCACCTGCAGGAGTGGTGGGCGCACCCGCACCCGCACCCGCACCCGCCATTTGCTATTGCCTTGGCAGCTCGCTCAATCCTTCTTGAGCTCCTTTCTGAGAACCAACGTAGCGCCTTCCACTTGATCATCCTCTCCTCCCGTAGCCTCGACCGCTCCGTTGAGCTGTACTGAAGCAGCACCATCGCTGGCCGCCTCCGCCGGATTCCTCACCACAAACATTTCCAATCCGTCTCCCACTTCGATCTGACGCTCCGTGGCCGAGGTGAAGCTGTCCATAACGATGCGCAGCACGTCTGGGAGCGCCATGGTGCCAGGCTCGGGCAGAGGACGAGTGGGCGTGGAGAGTTGATTCTTGAACATGATCTTGGGGGAAAAGCATTGGACATTATGAAAGGCATCGTCAGGTGGCTGTCTGGCGGGCCGGAATGACGAGCATTGCAAACGCGCAAAACTTTCTCACCTGGCTGTCCAAAAAGGGTTGCAAAAGGCTCTGAGCAGCACCGGCAGCTCTGCAAAATTCCCTCTCGTAGCTTCCCACCGGATCGAAAGAGTACACTGCACCCTTTCCCTCCTCGTCCAGTCCTCCAAGGATGTTGTAGACGTAGTAAGGGAAAAAGCGTTTTCCGTACAGCATGGTGCTGATCAACCTGGCGATGGACGCTAGAGGCATGGAAGAACCGTGTGCGTGCCTGTACATCTCCAACCTCTGCTTGATACGTGATACGAGGGCATCGGCATCGGCGCTGAAGCCATTCGTAGCGAGCGTCGCCTTGTCCGTCCTGCGCGCAAAAGGGCAGTGGGGGGGAATCAAATACAAGCGTCAGTGCACGCTCGACGCGCACGCTCCCATCTATCTTCTTGCCCCTTACGCATTGCCCATCACCGAGCAAACAGCGCAGCGCAGCGCATTCATCGCCAAGCCAGAAAAGCCCCACTCACAATCTGAAAACCTTGGGCTTGTACCTAGTCATGATGTTGTACCCCTCGCTCTGTCTCGTATCGCCCGCAACCACGCAAAAGTCCTTGCCAGCAATGGCGAGAATGCTACCTCCATTATCGGTATAAGGGCTGAAAGCTCTCTGTTGAGGTCCATGAGCATTCGGAGCCATCTGGCTCTCGGCGGCTAGAGAGGCATTGCGCTGCAAGTGAGCAGATGCGGCCGAGGGACCAAAGCTGATCATGATGGACGGTGGCAGGGCAGAGCTGGGTCTTGTGAGGAGTGGACTCGGGCGAGAGATGGGCTTTCTGCTGTCGCGGATGCGAAGTGGCCAGCAAGGAGTAACGAAGGATTGGATGAGGAAGTGATCTGTGGCGGAGCGCTGTGCTGTGCTGTGCTGTGCTGGCCAAATGTGTGTGGGATGTGAACAGCAGTCGAAGATTGTAGGAAGGAAAACACATGCGATGCGTGGCTACATATGCGATCGCAAGAGAGCGAGCTTGGACCGACCTCTGAACCCAGTGAGTCGTGAGCGTGCCCCTTCATCTAACGCGCACGCGCGTGGCTCGTGCGTCAAGGTCACGCGCGTGCGGCACAGCAGCAGCGCTGAAGAATCGTGAATTACGAACAATCAACAACTGCTTGCTGCTGCTGCCTCTCGAAAGGCTGACGCGGCCGGCCGACAGCGTGAGTGCCGCGCGCGCAGGAGCAGGGCAAAGAGGAGTCAAATGTAATCTTGAGCTTTGAATCTTGATGAGTTGGAGATTTTCCTGGCACGCTTTTTGCAGATCTATGTAAAGAAAAATTCTATTCGATCTGCAAACGCGATGCTAGTAAGTAGTCAAGAGTGATACAATCATTGAATGATGAGTGCTTTGTGGCTGTGCCGTCCAAGGCATCCATCCCCCATTCCGATCATGAGCCGGCGGGATCGGCCCAAATCGCTTCACTGGTGACTGATTCACGATTGCTTCTGCGAATCTGCGCAATTCCGACAAGCTTTCTCAACGAAATCGTGAGATTCTCGAGAGGGAAGAATTGGATACCAATGACGAAGCCGAAGAAAAGGTATATGCAGCTGGGAGCCTGCAGGTAGCATCAAAAGCTCCACTTCAGGTCCTCCCATGTTTGGGGGAATTGTGCGCACACCTCTTGAGTTCGGCACGGCACGCCACCACTCAGCAAATGCCCCCCCTTCCCACTCCTGTGCGACCGTACATGGCTCCCACTCTCGCTTGTGAACCTCATGATTGTGCTCATCTCATCACATTTCTCGCACGTACACAATGACGCACGCGATGGACCCGACCCGATCGGCCCCCATTCGCGCACTCTTCTTCCTCCTTTCTTCAATTGGCCGATCCTCTTCCGATAGCTCTGACGCTCTTTCCCCCATCGGGCAATTCAGGCAAAGGCGACACGTTCCTCGCATCGTCCTTGTGCGCAGGTCGTTCGAGGAACCCAGCAGCGACGAGCCAAGCGAGGTAGATGCCTACCAGCTGCTGCGTCACCCCCATCACCGTTCCCGCCGATGCTCCTTCCTGCACAGCGTCCAGCAGCGTGCGCGTGTGCGCATCGTCCAGCTCTGCCGATTTGGTGGAAGTGGGCAGATCATCCAGCACTAGAATAGGCGAGAAGGGGAGGGCGAGGAGGGGGGCAAAGCCCTCGCATTCGCGTCAGGAGGTTGTGGCATGCATCGAACGCCACGCAGCAGAGGTTTCTCCCTCATTCACAACTCACCAAAATGCAGCAAGGGAAAGAGCGCATTGGCTTCCGTGCTCTGCAACTCTGCGCCTTTCGTCTCTTTCGGGGCAGACTTGAGCACATGCTCCTCCAAAGCCGATCTCCACTCTACATAATCCACCTTTTGCGCGTCCCAACCGTACGTGTGCAGAGCGCCCAGCAGTTCGTTGAACCTGATGGTAGGGCGTCCCGTGGCATGGTAAACCCTAGCGCTCGTTCCGGGCACATCGCCTTCTTCCTTTGCCGTAGCGATGCAAGCAAGCGCAGTGATCCTGGCCACATGGTCCACAGGCACCATGTTGATGGCGTTGTGCATATCCGGTATCAATCCCAACTGCACGCTTCCCTTGACCAATCTCCAGATGAAGTCGTCCGTATTGGTCACCGCGCTCCTGCTATCTCCCACCACGTAGCCGGGTCGAACGATGCTGGCCCGCAATCCGCGAGAGGCGCATGCCATTACCAGCTTTTCCGACACCCACTTGGACTGACCGTAGCCCGTGCCCAACCCTTGCGCGCTGCCCGACAAATCATCCGTCTCCGGCACACCGTTCAGCGCAGCCCCACCCGAAGCCTTGTCCGCTTCGCTCGCAGAGCGCTGCTGAATGATAGAGTCCGAGAGGTGCACGTAGTGATCCGTATCCAGCGCGGATGTGGACGAGACGAAGGTGAGGGTTTTGGGCTTGCCCGTGGCGCACAGCATGATGGCGCACACTGTGGAGAGGACGTTAGCAGCTCGGAGGCGAGAATACGGGTAGACCCAGTGCACCTGAAAAGGGGTTGTGAGTTGAATAGGTAAGATTCAGACTCGCACGCTCCAATACGGTAGCAGCGCAGCGAACACTCCGCTCGACTTACCAGCGCTCCATTGTGCACAACAGCATCGACCTCTTGGGCCAATCTGACCCATTCCTGCTTCTGCAGGCCCAATCTCTCCTTCTCCAAGTCTCCCACCACCACCTCCAATCGACCCTGCTCCACCCACTCCTCATTCCAAGCCGATCGCGCCAATCCTCCTTCCCTAAGTCTCTGCAGACCTTCTTGTGCGCTCCTGGCCCTCACGTGAGCAATGACCCTCTGCACCGCTTCTCTGCGCATCTCCAGCAAGTCCCTGAGCACAAAGGCGCCCAAAAAGCCCGTCGCGCCGGTGAGCATCACGGTGCTTTTCTTGGCGCCGTGCACTGCCTGGGCAATGTTGGACAGCGTTCCCGATCCCACAAAAGATTCCGGCAATGCTCGAAGCAGCGGCTCCACATCCGCCGCGTAGTCCTCGTCGTAATTGGCGGGCGCGGACCCGGCATTCCTAGGCGTGCTCTTCGATGTGGCCGGTTCGGCCGCAGAAGTTGCGGGCGCGGGAACATGTCCCAAGTTGAGGTCCGCATCTCTCAAGCGGTCCACCTCCCTCGCCAGTCCCTCGATGGTCGGATTGTCAAAGACCACTCCAAGTGGTACAGGAACGACAAACTGTTTGCGCATGTTGAATACCAGGCGCGTAGCCAGGATAGAGTGACCTCCAAGGTCGAAGAAGGACTCGTTCAGCGGCAATGGTTGAGGAGCAGATGGCAATAGTGCCGAAAAGAGCTCCTCCATGGCGCTCTCCGTCGGTGTGTGAGTCCTTGCAGAGGAATCCTTCGACGAGGGACCCGAAGCAGTCGCAAAAGCTTCAACGCCGCTAGCTAGTGGGGCGCTGCGTGGTGCAGCGGAAAGGGCTGCAGAAGCCAGTGCGGTATCGGGAAAGGGCAGAGCAGGCTTGTCGATCTTGCCATTAGGGTTCAGAGGCAGTCTAGCCAACGGAACAAACAAAGTGGGAATGCTATAAGCAGGCAATTTCTTCTTCAGATGATCTCTGATATCCTTGATGAGACGCCTGTGCCTGCGCATGCCGCGCACAAGCGTAGCGTTCGTACTGTTGTCCTTTTCCCGTTTCGACTCTGCGTTGGCCTCGTCTGCACTCGTGCCTTCTTCCATCTGAGCCGCACCCGGTCCAGGCACAAAGTAAGACACCAGCACCTTTTCCTCGTCCTTGTCTCTTCTGACCAGAGTGACATTCTCCCGAACATGGGCATGTCTAGAGAGGTGCGTGTCGATCTCTCCCAATTCTATTCTGAAGCCTCGAATCTTGACCTGATCGTCGGCTCTGCCCGTGCACTCCACCGTGCCATCAGGCAAGTACCTTCCCAGATCCCCAGTCCTGTACATCCTATCCCTCACGCCTTTCCAAAATTGCGCCTCGGATTTGCCCTGCAAGCTATCCTCAAACCTCGCATCCGGCGCCAAAAAGTTGGGCACAAACTTTTCCGCCGTCACTTCTGGCGGTCCGAGGTAGCCTTCGGAAAGGCCTCCTGAGCGCACATAGATCTCGCCCACTTCTCCCACGGCACAAGTGGCCGTGCGTTCGTTCCTATTGACCACCAGCAGCTGCACATCGATCATGCCCTGTCCTGCGGGCATGATGTCCTTTTGCGTAGCCAAAAACGTCGGCCTCTCCGACACGGGCGGAATGGCAAAGTAGGAGACGGCGCGCTGCGTCTCCGTCGTGCCGTACATGTTGATGATGCGCACATTCTTCGCTAGAGCTTGCAACCTCGTGCAATCCCTCTTGGTGAGCACATCACCCACAAAGAATGCGTTGCGCAGTTCCGGAATCTTGGCGATGGCTTGCGCAGAGAGAAGCTGACCCATGGCTGGTGTGAGGTGGGTCACGGTGGCTTTGGTCGCAGCCATCCACTCGGCCAGCCTACCGGGCGTGCCGATGTCGTCAGCCGTGGGCACGTGCAGCTCGGCGCCAAAGAAGAGAGGGGTGAAAATGTCTCGCTGAATGGGATCGTGGGCGATGCCGCTGAGCATGGTGAATCGAGAATTGGCATCGAGTTGAAAAGTCTGGCCCATCCAAGGGAAGAAGTGAGTCAGACTGTGATGTCTTCCTCGAACCCCTTTGGGGATGCCCGTAGATCCAGAAGTGAAGCTGAGCGTGCCGATGCTGTCGGGGCCCAAAAGCACTCTAGTGCTCTGTGCGGCCGATTTCTGCGCCGTTTCGAGCACGTCCGCCTCGTCGTCCTGCTTGGCACCGCCTTGAACGCCAAGCTCTCCGGGGGTTTCGCCATCGATCAACGTAAGCGCCGGCACCTCCACCTTCAAGTCCAGCTCGTCCTGAATGCATTTGCGAACGCTGGGATGTAGAGTTCCCGCTTTCTCCAAAACGACGAGCGCGCGAGGCTTGGCTACTTGAAGGTAGATGATCTGTCTGCTTGGAGGGTAGGCTGGATCGATGACGCTAAACGTTCCACCGGCCTTGAGCGTGCCGAGGACCGCCACGACGAGATCAGCGCTTCTGTGCGCATACACTGTCACCACATCCTCCCTCTGCAGCCCATTCGCCAACAGATGGTGGGCCAGCACATTGGAAGCACGGTCGAGCGCGCCGTAGCTGATCTCTCGCGTGATGCTAGCGGGCGCAGGCAGCTCCATGCTGTTGGGATCGCCAGGCAGACTTTCGATGATGGCCCTCCTTTGTGGATTAGCAGCAGCGTTTCGCTCAAAGATGGAGGTGATGGAACCTTGAAAACCGCAAAAGTCCAGCTCTTTGCGAGGGTCGGGCAGGATCGCATCTTCGGCATGCGTGCGGAGACCGATGCTGCCGATGGGTCGATTGGCATTGATGGCTGCTGCTAGGACGACGTGGGACAGGTGTGCGAGCAGAAGCTGCATCCTGGCCGAAGAGAAGAGGAGCGCATTGTAAGAAGCGTGCAGGGAGATGGCAGGCACGATTGGCTGTCTAAAGTTGGCTGCTTGAGGCGTGGAAGGCGTGCTCGCTGCACCGCTTGCTCCGTTCCTGAGCGTATCGATGCTAGAAGAGAGTGAGGAAGCGTTGCCTGACAGGTCATCGAGCTTCGTGCCGGGCTTTGTGAGGAAGAGGGTGAGGTCCGTGGTGAGGCTTGTGCTCTGCAAGAAGCTCCTTTCCCTTCCTCCCAGCTCATCAAAGAACCTGACACGAAAGACGGGAGCGCTGGGAGCAGCGGCGGCGGCGGCCGATGCGCTCTTTTCCGATTCCAGCCTGGCCACTATATCTTCGTATGGCGCATTGTCCGAGGCTGCTTCGGCTTCCACCGCTTGCACCCGCTTCACGACCTGCAAGAAGGGATCGCCAGCCTCGATTGGGATTCTGAGGATGAGCGGCGAGCCATCGATGGGCGAGGAAGAACCCAGCAGCAGATCCGTGTCGCCCGTGTAGCGATGCAGCAGCACAGCGAAGGCTGCGAGCAGCAAGTGAAAGGGCGTAGGCGTGCTAGAGTGCGCATTAGCAGCCTGATCACCATCTCGCTCCTCCTGCGCCTCATCGTCGCCGTCGTCATCATCATCATCATCATCCGAGCTATCGTCCTGCTGCGCACCATCCAACGAGCAGTGCAGCGTCAATCGAACGAGAGCATTGCGAACCTTGGCAGACAAGTTGCTGGAGCTGATGGCTTGCACGACTTGGGAGGAGGATGGACGTGGGTAGTCTGTTGGCAAGGCGATGGAAGGCAGGGATTGCAAGCGATCGCGCCATCGATCAAGTCTGGCTGACGCATCTGCATCTGCTGCTGCTGCTGCTGCCTCTGTCATCTCGACTGCTCGATTTTGCGATGCCGACGACGTTCGCTGAAGTGATTCTCTCCTGTCCGATCCAATATGATCTGCTGTCCTCGCTCGTGCTGCTGCTGCTGCTGCTGTGTCGATAGGAATGGACTGTGACTCGGGAGTCTGGAGGAAGTGGAGGCAAAGGTCAAGTCAAAATCGATGGATGAATCTTGAATGTCGTAGGCACAAGCGTCGCATCCGATGATTCGAGTCAAAGTCATCGGCCAAGCTGGGCGGCTGCATACGCATACAGTATACGCATTCAGCACTGTGACTGATTGCATCGATATAGGTGCTCCAGAAGAAATCCTCATCAGCAACAAGCAAAATTCAAAAATTCAAGATGGATTAGCTGTTCTCGTGACTCGTGACTCGTGACTCGTGACTCGCAGTCAAGATTCTGATTGCACAGCGCAGCGTGACGCGCGCCTTTCCTTGTAATAATCAATTTGAATCATCTCCGCGGAGCAGCGCGGAACTGGACCCAAAGCCACGTGGTGAAGCACAGACCACACGCGGGCCCTGCGACATACCCAGACCGCCCGCGCGTGCAGCTCGACATCATTGCAGCATCAGGCCAGACAGGCAGCGTGGCCCATGCATACAGCAGCAGCTAGGAGACGCATGCTGCAGGCACCTTTGCGGCCCCCCGCGCAACGAGCGCTGCTGCCGCTGCTCGCGCTCGCGCTCGCGATCGTCGCGTGCACGCAAGACGCAACACAGAGAGAGGAGAGAGTTTTGCGGGCAGAGCGAACGTACGCGGCGATAGGCGAGCCGGGCAGTCAGTCAGGCAGGCAGGCGGGCGGGCGGGCAGGCAGACGACGAGGCAAGTCAAGAGCACGCAACGCAACGCAGCGCACCCCCTTCTGCGCTCGGTGAGGGTACGTTCAAGAGGAACAGACGTATCTGACGCTTATTGCATGGCATGGCCTGCTCGACCTGCTCGCCTTGCCTCCCATAGCTCATCCACCACCTTCATCGACAAGCGAATCTCACAAAAACAGCTCACACAAAAAGCTTCTCACGAATTCGTTGCCTCTTCCTACAAGCGCATCCCCCCACTTCATCCAAGTCCAAAACAAAATGGTGCTTTACGTCGAGGGAGATGTCATCGAGTGTGAGTATGCCTTGCAAGCGCATGCGGGATTGGCCAGCTGCCGGGAGAAGCATTGGTGCTGGACATAAGCGCAAAGCTGGGAATATTATTGGCCATGCGCGCTCCCAGGTCTCGGATGTGCTTGGGCGAATTGTATGCGGCGTGCTCATGGAGCAGAGGGCAAGAGGACAGAGCGCGCATGAATGAGGGCGATGACACTTCGAGATCGGCGCGGGGGATGCTTTGCTGCAACCTTGCGGCAAGTTTGCTGGCCAGATGCCGAGGCAGCGGGAGATTGGAAGGTAGAAGGAGTCCAGCTGCGCTGCATCAGCATGGTCACACGTATGCATGCGCAACTTCAAGATGTTCTTGCTGCTGCTGCTGCAAGAACTTGTACTCTCGTCTTGAAGACTGCAAATGGTCACATGTTGGTGGGCGAGCGAGCGATCGGTCCGCTTCCCTTGGTATGACCCATCAAGTCTGCCCACATCTCAAGAAGCTGACAAGTCTTATTCTGCTGCTTTTCGAACCCCTCCCGCAGACCGCCCCTTTGGCGGCGATGTCAAGACTGGCAAGATTGACAAGATCGAAGCCAAGACTGGAGGCCACGTGAGTAGAAGGTGCGGTGTGTATGTGTAAGCTATGATGCACTGTCATCAGGGAGCTCTCGCAGCCAGGAAACGAGGGCATGGCAACGCAAAGGAATGACTACCCCCTTTTGCCGCGTCTCGATTTGCGGCATCGGCATGTTGCGTAGCTGCTCGAGCTTACTTCCTTCATCTCTGTGCTTGCCCTTTGACAGGTCGACATCACCTACACTGTAAATGGCGAAAAGATCATCTCTTGCCAGATCATTGGCAAGACCAAGTGAGGGTCTGTCGTGGCGGAATCGGGATCTGGATGGGGAGCAGGCGCAGGCTCAGTGATGAGCACATCGCCACCATCATTGGGCTCTTCTGGCATATCTCCTTCAATCAGAAGAGCAGAGCTGCAAGCAGACGATTTGATGAACAAAGAGCGACAAATCAAGAAAGCGAGGTTGGACTGAATGACAACGCAAAGGGGAACAATCCGCACACTAGGGTCCATCGCTCTGATCTGGTGTGCTTCATGCGCGCCCACCTCTCGCCTTTTTTGCCCCCTTCCGCCCCTCCTCCCCGCCCCCCCCCGCCTCCTTTTGATTGTTGCTGCGAAAGAGCTTCTTCTCTTCCCCCCAATCCAGCCCTATCCAGCGCAAATAACAAGACGCCTGAATGCAACCCCCTAGAATACACTTTTCTTCTTCCCACCTTGCCCCCGCAGTGTCTGCGTGTGCCCAATCAGCTAGAGCGGATGCTATGAACGAGTTCCGAGTCTTGTGCTTCAAAGAGCGAGCGAGACGTCGCTCTTGCACGCATCACATCATGACGGACGCAGTCGGATGCCAGATGTAGCTTTGATTACATAGCTAGCAGACGTGCGCTTGTCCAACAAGTGGAAAGCTGAGCAGAGCACAAGCAGAGCATGGCAGATGCATTCGCTAACGACCGATCTCGAAAGGGGGTCGGAGAAGGAAAGAAAAGGAGCAAAAAAAAAAAAAAAAAAAAAAAAAAAAAAAAAAAAAAAAAAAAAAAAAAAAGCAGAAGAAGAAGAAGCCCTTGCAATGACGAATGCATTCCGAACTTGCGCATCTCGCATCTTTCCCTTTTCCTCTTTCAAATTTGGCGCAATGAAGGGCGCCATTCTGCCCATCGACGCTCTCCCCCCCCCCCATATCCTCTCTTTGGGAGAGACTTAATTGGGCCACGTTCGCCCTAAAGGGAAACACAAATAACATGCCTTCCAGCACTTCCCTCTTCCCCCGGTAAGGTCAGGCCATACTCCCATCTACAGGCTGCATAATCAACTTCCTCCCCCCCCCCCCGCGCCGCACCGCACCGCCCCCCCCCCTTCCCCCCCACCCTCAAAGTTCATTTGCTCCGTCGTGAACTTTCCTCTGCCTAGACAATCACGCAACTCAAAGGAACCTACCAACAAGGGCGCGCGCGCGCGCCTTTTGGTGCCCCCATTCTACGGAATTTGGGCTGCGTGGGTGGAGATTGGAGGATCTTGCGTGGCTACCTACGACAAAAACACAGATGGGGGGCGAATGAGGGCGCGTACGGAGGGGGGGGGGGGGGGTAGGAAAAAGGGATGGGGGCAAAGCTTTTTGCCAAACGGGGTTGTGGCGTATGTACAAGATGAGATGGGTAATGGGGTGAAGAAAGGGAGTAAGGCGGGGGCGAGCGTGCGATACACATAAACGCACGCTCAAATGGGTGTGACAAGAAAGAGAGCGAGAGAGAGAGCGGAGGCTACACGCGTGCAGTTCGATGAAGTCCATCCCGCCGTTCAACCGATCAATCCCACGCTCCTCATATCCGCAATAAGTCTCCTCTCTTCCGGCGACATTTGCGCATCCGATCCTCTTCCCCTCCCCTCCTCCTCCTCTGACTCCTCCGACTCCCCGCTATCCTCATCCCTTTGCGCTCTCGAAACCGCTTCTCTGGCCCTATCCCTCTGACTCCTCGCTTGCGCACCCGCAAAAGCGGCCGGAAAGACGATCCAATCTTCTCCCGTTCCCGTAGCCCTTCCTCCTGTCCCTCCCGAAGGCCCGTAGCGCAGGTTTCGTCTGTTCAGAGCTTGTCGCAGCGTGTGTATGAAACCGACGGGTCTAGTCGAATCCTCTTCTCCTCCGCTCGACTCTCCCGCACCTCCCGTAGAAGGCTCGTGCGCAGCCTCGGTATCTTGTCGATCTCTGCGCGCTGCCGCAACCAATAACCTTCCCCATCGGTGCACGCGCCAGTAAGAGACCAAGCTGGAGAGCACGATGAACCAGCCGAGTACCATCAGAATGTAAGACAACCATTGCGCTCCTTCCTCTACCGGAAACAATCCATCATCCCTTCCACTTCCGCCCGCATTTCCATTGGCACTGTTCATGTCGCCTCCTGCAGCCAGCATATCTGCCATGGTGCCGTTGCCAGTAGGAGCCGGGGCGTCGCCTCGGAGGAACATGTCCGCGGCTGCGCGTCGCAAAGACCCAGCAGCTGTTGGCGCACCACTGCCAGAATCTCCGAACGGGTCCCACCACGGATTGCCACCAGAAATGACGATGGCTTCGTTGGGGGTTGATCCTGGAGCGTTTCCGTCTGGTGAACCTGCATGTCCGGGAAGAGGGTCGCTCGAGGGCAGATTTCGCGTGCGGAGAAAAAGACCGTATTGGATCAGGGTGATGCCAAGACCTGCTCGACTGCCGCAACGTGCCGCGTGGGTAGTGTGAAGCAGATAAGTCAAGAGGAAGCCTGCGCAGCGACGGCAGTCGAACGGAGGTGGAGTAAAATCAGCCCTGTGCAGTCCGCGCATCCAGCCGGCCGAGCATCAAATGCCCAAAGCTCACCAACAAATTGGAAGCTCATGCTGACCATGAGGTTCCAAGCGAATCCGAAAAAGTTGCCGACTGGCAGACCTTCCACGATGAGGTCTTCGATCTCGCCAACGTGGGCACCGCCGGGTGTCCAACCCATTCCGCCGGGCGCAAGAGGGTGCATGCCTCCCCCCACTATCGTAGTCTCCCAATAAGGCGGTGCAGAGTCTGCAGCTGCTACATCGTAGGTCGGTGGCAAGGTCTCGTCGACCTAAAGATGGACACAAGGACAGAACCAAGTCAGCTTCTCATGCTCGATTCACATTGTACGGTGGCGAGAAAAGGCGGGCTGATGCTTACCAGATCGTCGTCATCACCCCTATCACCTCCATCTGCGGTGCGTCTCCTCCTCTCCGGTTTGGCGCTCAGATTGGCAAACACGCCATCTCCAGACCCTCCACCCATCACTCGTCTCCTCGTGTCCGACTCGCCCGCACTCCTAGCATCCGCATCATCCGTGGGCAAACTAGCATACGTAGCTCCCGGCACCCTCATACCCACAAACTGTCCAAATCGACCCAGAGCTAATCGAACACGAGACATTCTCGAGTCCAGAGGAGGAGGAGGTTGTTGTTGCGCATTTGCGCGCGAACTCGTGCTGAGATCATAAGTGGAAGAGGAAGGTCCACCCGGGTTGGAATTGGCAGTGATGGGTGTGGGGCCTGGCGTATCTGGTCTTGCGCCGTTGTTTCCTCTAACGTGCGAGCTCGATGAGGCAGCTGTAGGATCTGAGCTGGAGGAAGGAGCGGTAGCAAAGTACGAAGGCGCCTCAAAGTCGTATCCGCTCTCTGTAGCGTTTGGCGAAGGAGGTGCGACGCCCAGTTCGAGCGCCGAAGGGATCCGATTCTCCCTGCCATACACCCTGTTTCTTCTGTCGAAAGTGCGATGGGATGAGGCAGCGGAGGAGCGAGCTCCCAAAGGATCGTCGGTCGTATCATCATCACCCTCATCGCCCATCGCATCTCCCGCATCGAACCAGACCTGGTTGGCCCGTTCGCGCGCAGCTGCTGCTCGTCTTGCTTGCGCAGGGTCATACGAAGGAGGCAAAGCATCACCTGCATCGTCTGTGGCGCTTCCTAGCAAATCTGAGCTCTCGCCTTCATCGTCGAATGCGGCAGCTAGCTCGGCTGCTCGCGAATGGGAGCCATTGCTTCGGCTACTATGAGACGTGGGTCGGTGTACCATGTTGTCAAAGCACTGGGATGTCTTGTTGAAGCTGAATCAGGTGTTCAGGTGTTCTGACCAATCGAGATTGCCGCTGGATGATGGCTGGGTGGGTGAATGTGCTGTGGAAAGAGAGAGAGTGGGCCGCGCTGCAGAGTGCACCGTGGGGTGAGTGGTGGGCAGGTGGGAAGCCGTTGGCGCCCCGCGTAAAGCTATAGCCTCGGTGGCGATGGATGGTGGCGTGCACTTGATGGTCAGACCGCTCAGGCTATTGAGGTACCGTGCGTGCGTGCGTATGTGTGTGCGTATATGCGCCCGCTCGCGACTCGGCGAGAATCACGAATGGCGAATGGGAGACCGGGTGATGTGGGTTGAAGCGAAATTGGCGCCTGTTCTGTGAGTATTCGTGATTGTTGCCAAGATGTCCTCTCACGTTCGAGATGCTGTGGAGAGAGCTGACCATATATCCATGCATCAGCTTGACTTGACTGACCTAGCTGCCTCCGCTTAAGCTGTACAAGTCACGAGAATCGTGAATAGATAGATGGCCGCTGCAAACCTATGATCACACGGCTGAGCTGACCCAAAGCGTCATCGTCAGCAGCAGCAGCATGCATGCATGCATGCACGCAACCTTACACATGTAAATCGTGAATGTATATAAAGCCAAGTACACCGCCATACCGTACAGCAGGTGAGTGCAGAAATGCGCTCCATCCGCCCGCCTGTCGAGCTTAATCGCGACGCGCACACCCAATTCTTGATTTGAATTTATCATTCGATTTGTATGTCGTAAATCTTGTATGGGCGCGGGCGGGCGCAAGTATATCGTGACGACAGGCAGCATAGGCTGATTGAGATATACATGATCTGCTGCCTGCCTGCATGCTGCTCATGCACGCGTGATATTGGCGCACGTATGTGTGAGACCCGCGCGGTGATCAGCATCCGCGGGCGGCCACCCGCCAGCATCATATACATGCAGCATAGCAAGCGTGCGCGCCGATAGCAGCTATATAGCGAGCCACACAGCATGAACATACCATTCGTAATTCGTGATTCTTGCATGATTGCACACCAAGATAATTCCTCAAGAGATCTATAGGTGCATGGATGTCTACAAGCTAGCATTCACCAGTCGCCAACTCAAAAGGATTGTGATTGTTGGAATCATGTTTGAATCTCAGTAGTCCATGCATGCATTCGCGAGCGACTTTATTTTTGAGCGGCTTCTGGTATGCATCAGTCATCATTCGATTGTTCCACATTCCATTTAATAATTGCGTTCTCCGAGCTTTGCATGGATGAATCGATGGATGGCCTTTTGATACATGTCACTCACACTTCGAGCCTGCTGCAGCCAGATGACACACTCGGCCGTGAGGCGTACTGCAAAATGAGCTTGCTTGCTCATCAAAGTTGCGTTGTCTGCAGTCAGAGAGTCGTGAGTATACAACCACCGAAGCATCTGCATGGTCACGCAGGCCAGGCCCCTTTGAGACTCTTCTCTGATTTGGCGTGGCGGGTAGGCTCAGCTAGCCTTGCCGGTATAGCTTTGGCTTACTCGTGAGTCGTGAGTGACTCTCTCTCTCTCTAGATCTATCGCGACCTGTGCTGTGTGCGTGTGGATGGACTCCATGCAAGGCAAGCTCAATTGCGCAGCACTGCCACGCACACGCGCTTCTCGGCCGTACAACGAACGCTCGCTCGCTCGCTCGCTCGCTCGGGCGCGCGTGTGGCTTGGCGGTGCGCCGGCCGCGGTTGGGTTAGAAGCTTCCAGATGATGCCAGATCCGTCCAGACGGCTGCTCAGCGCGTTCCAAATTGGGCCCCTCATTCACGATTCACCATGGTCGTTGCGGCAACGCGCGTCCGTCGTAGACTGGATGCTTCTAGCACTCGCTCGCAACATCTTCTACACGGACCTCCACGAAGCGTCTAGCATTTATGCGGACCATGGCGAGCTTGCAAACATAGTGGAACGTGAGGATCTGTGGTGGTCACAGTATGCGTGTGCTCGAGCGGGAGGCGTGATGTGGTGTGAGCGGTCGGACATGGTGCACCAAAGGGGTACAAAAGGCGCCCTGCCTGACGCTCTTAGCGATTTGCGTCTCCTCATCAACATCTCACAATCGCACTTGACAATCACGAATCGACACTCCCAAGCTCAACTCTTGCCCAGTTCAGTGCTAATCAGTACTGACAAGCCGCACGCATCGCATCCCAACAAGTCATCATGGAGTTCTACCTCGTTCCCGATCATCACTCCCAACCTCACCGTCTGCGGGCACCACGCTCCGCATTCGGTGGAGCACCATCGTGCGGACTCGACAATCTTCTCTGCAACCTGGTGCAAGATCCATCGACTCATCGTCCAGCTCGAATACCCAAACCTCGCCATTCTAGCTCCTTCCATCCTCTAGTCGATCTGACCCTCTACCAAGATCATGATCGCGACGATGAAGATGAAGGACAAGCCATCGCTTTCGCCTTGACTCACCATCATCAACATCGTGAGCGCGAGCGGGAGCGCGAAAGAGCACGTCAATTGCAACTGGAGCAGTACCAACTGGACCGTCAGCGTGCGCGACGTCTTCGAGAGTTTCAAGAGGCGAGAGCAGCAGCAGCAGCGATGGCTCGCGAGCAACAACGTCAGCGTCAGCGACAATTGCACATTCTGCATCTCCAACAAGAAGCACGCGAGCAGCAAGAGCGGCAACATCGTTTGTCCCTCGAGAATGCTCAGAAACGTCAAGAGCACAAGAGACAGATCGACCTGCAACGCCGTCATCGCCAGCAGCAACAAGATCTGAATGCGCAAATTCAGCACGACTTTTGGGAGGCTTTGCAAAGGCAATTCTTCCCTTCTGTGCAAGATCGCGAGCAGGAGAGACAAGCGGGCATTGAGGCCCATTTGAAGCAGAGGGCACGAGGAGAGAAGGAGCAAATCGAGCGTACACGTGCCCTAGGGAAAGAGAAGCGATCGGACGCTCAAGAGACCTTCGAAGGAGCGCTGCAGCTAGGCGATGCCTTCTTGCGCGCTTTCTTTGGTGCGGAGCCCGACGAGGAGAAAGAGGAGAAGAAGGACGAAATTTTGGAGAAAGCCACGGCTGATGAAAGCACCAGCGAAACTCGATCCGAAACTGAGCACGCTACACAGAGCCATCAAGAGCTGGCAGTGCCTCGTGCGGATGGAGAGAGGGAAGTCGAAGTGTCCGTCGAAGACACTTCAAGCACCGACTCAGCGGGACAATCTTCGGTGACGGCAAAGGACATTGAGATGACCGACGCACCTTCCGCCGGCAAGAAGGAGGCGCTAAACGCCTCTTCCGACGCGAACGAAACGGTCCTCTTTCATTATCCTCACGTCGCTCCGACCTCTTACGACGCGAAGAACTTGAAGCTGGCACTGCAGGGCGATCAACTTCGCATCGAGGGACTATGGAAATCCTCATCCACTTTGGAAGCTTTGAGCACCAAGCATTCACCCGCGCAACGGCAAGCACAGGTAAAGCAAAAGGAGGGGCAGGAGGAGGAGGAGGAGAAGAAGAGTTCGACAGGTTCTTCACGTAGCAATTCCCCGCATCGAGGACGTTCGCCACGCCGTGCAAGAGTGAGCGACGTGGATGAAAACGATATGGAGATCATCGAGCCTGAGCCTGAGCTGCAGGATGAGGCAGAGGGCAAAGCTTCGCTCGAGTCGGCGGGAAGAAATGCAGAGGAGAAGGAGGAGGAGGAAGAAGGATACATCTCCATCGACGTGGATGCTCGAGCGGATGCTCGAGCCAAAACTTCAAACGCCAAACCATCCACTCTTTCTCCCCTTCTCCTCTCTATCCCGCACAATGCCGATGCATCCAGCATCAGAGCAGACTTGCACGACCAAGGTCTCACCATTTACATTTCCTCGCTCATGAACGATGCTTAGGAAGTCAAATCTGCGCTTTCCCCCGACCTGCCCACTTCCTAGACTCCATACTCGTCCAAATGGCCCAACAACTCTTTCCTACCACTCCAACTCGCTTGTACCTCTTCAATCTGGACCTTGTACGCTGTGCTCTCGAATCAATCAGTGATGAACGACCTCACGAGAGCGATAGTACCCGAAGCGTGTGAATGTGGAAAGGGTTCGGCCAGTCATCCATTCAAGAATGATCTACTTTGCTTCTACAAGCGCGCCTTACGCTCATTAAAGATCAGAGTGAGCAGGCTGCATTGTCCATGTAAGATCAAAGAGAGATGTATGTATGTGTGTATGTGTGTGTGTATTGATGATGTGTACGGGGGTCGTAATAAGAGTTTGAGATTCAGTGTGCGCGTTCGCAGATGACGCGAGCGGCTCGCAGCACGACACCACGTTTTATGGTGGGGAGTGGGGGGGGGGTGGGGAAGAGGTCCAAAAGTGGGCTGGAAGGGGGAGGAAGAGGCCCGAAATGCGAGGCTTGCGAGAGATTTCGGAATCGTCATGGTTTGCGGCGCGTGACAATGTGACGAGGAGTGATGAAGCGTCTTGGAGGGGCTGCAAGGTGATGTACGTGTCTCGTTCATGGTCGTAGACTGGTCAGGCATGACTTTTGTGCAATACAAAGGCAAGGAAGGTGGATGTGCGGGCCAAATTGGAGGTTGCCACCCCAAGCGCGCAGCAGATTGCGGCATCAGAAATTGAACTCGAGATGTGGCGGAGCATCAGATACGCGACCGCTGCGGGTGGAGGAAGTACCGTCTGGCTGAAGGACCTGAACAAATCTAGCGCTTGTTGGGGCTTTCTGACCAAGGCTAGTATCGCCGCTGCTGGAAGAGCTCCGCTGCGCCCTCTTGGCTGCACTACCAGGGGGCGAGTCGGAGGATTGGACCACACCTTCACCGCCAGTACGAGCCGGGCCTGCGAGCCAAAATGCGTCATCGGCATTCTCTTCTTCATCCGAATGCCCAGCACTCGATGCTCTTTCCATGTCAGCACCGAGAATGCCCAAGCGAGCTTGAGCTAGCGCTTCATCGTGCTTCAGCTCCTTCATGCTAGCAAGGCTCTTCCTTTTGGCCTTTGGCGAGGTCTCCAAGGTGCTCTCTCTCCATTCCCTCTGAGCTGAAGGAGGAACGTTGGCTTGCGCAGCGGCAGCAGCTGCTGCTGCTAGCGCGGTGGAGTCTGGCTCGACAGAAGAAGATTGCCCTTGGGCCACAGGTCTCGAAGATGTGGCTTGTTCAACGGGAGTCCGAGGTCCGCTTCCCCCTCCACCTCCAAGTCGAGGTGCCCTGACCACTTGAAAGCTTTTGCCCGAGTTTGGTGCAGGAGGTATGGATTCGGTGCCGCTGGACGACAAAGTTCCATCTGCATTGACCTCTTTCGCTCCTCCCAGGCGACGCAGCAGCGCGCTCATCATTGCGACTCCAGCCCACGGACCTCTGCCTCGCGCCGCAGCACTCGTCTCCCACGTCGTCTCCTCATCGCTCCAATCTTCGCTCTCTCCTGGCGCTGCGGACTCATTCTGTTGCCGATTCCACATTGGAAAATCCACTCGTGGACGCTTGCCCGCCTGCTTAGGGGCTGGCTGCCCTCTTGCAGCCGAAGAAGCTGCAGCGGCCGCTCCTGTGCTGGAAAGAGTTGCTGCCGCTTGCCTGCGTCGATCTTCCTCCTCATCCGCGTAGACGGCGTTGCGAGGATCCGTGGCCATTGCGCCAGGTTCTTCGCCCCACAACGCGACGTGCGCCTGAAGACTTCTGCGACTCTTGGTGCTGTGTGGCAGCTGAGGCCGCGATGACGAGGGCAGCGTAGAGTAAGGATTAGCCTCGGTCGCCTTCCCGCCTCCCACACGTACAAAGCCTGCAGGTGCAGGGGAGCTTGCTGCGTCACTGTTGATCGGCGTACCACCAGACCTCGCCGCGTCAATGGCCCCGATGGGTGTGAGCGCTGCACTGGTCGGTGCAGACCATCCCGGCGATTGCGGCGGCAATGCAGCCATAATGTGATCGTCGTCATCGGGCGCAGTGCGGTAGTAGACAGAGTAAGGATTCGCGGAGCCTATCAAGTCCGGAGATCGAGCACCCGGCGAGGGGCGCGAGGCGGTACCCGCAGGGCTACCTTGTGCTGCATTGGCAAACAGCCGGCTGTCGAGGTAGCTAGCATACGAGCCTTGTCGAGAATGGGTGAGCGGTATGGCTCCGGCCGAGGCAGGGCTTCGACCCGCGGGACCAGATCCTTGCACAATGATGGGTGATCGCACGCTGCTGTCGTCTGAGCGATGTCCTTTTTCGCGCACGTTCTTTTCCTTGCGGCGCAACTGCAAGGTTTTGTACTTCCGTCTGCGTATCCTCCTGATGGCCCCGCCGAGGCCGGCTGTTCGTGGTGAGACGCGATCGTCGAAAGGCACCCGCCATACGAGACGGATCAAGGCTTCGAGGATCTTGGCCGCGATCGCGAACAGCATCATCGCGAAGAAGATGCCCTGCATCAGAAGCACAACATATGTCAGCCACCCAGTCGCTTGGCGGCCAAAGTTGACCACCGGCGTCAGAAGGACAGCGAGGATTGCAGTGATGATACGAATCACGCTTGTCGCGAATGATACGGGTCCCATCCATGCGCCTTCCGGCCATGGGAGCCAGAGACCAACTGCAAGGCCAGCGAGCAGCTCTAGGACGACGAACAAGATCGCTTGCGCAGATCCGCTCTGCTGTGCCGCGCCGATCACTATACCCAAGATGAGGCTGTGCGCGTAGCTGACGATGAAGAAGAGCTGGGAGCCAGGTGAGTAGGTGTTGTAGACAGGTCCAAGAGCCACCAATGTGTCGATATCATCGTAGAGCTTGGAAGTTTCAGTCCGTGCGATGCGCACAATGAGGTAGATTGGCGCCAAGATGGATAGGATGGCGAAAGCCAGCGCCGCTAGAGCGACCGACGTGGTCGAGTGGGAGCTGGCTCTTGCGAATTGGTACACGCTAAAGATGGTAATCGGAAAGTGGAAGAGTGCCAAGGCGCGAACCAGATTACCGTGGAGTACCTTGAGATGGAAGCTGAGACCGGTGTGTATGCGGCCGCCAGGCCGGAATCCAGGAAGCACTCCAAGGAAAGCGTAGCCGCTGCGCTTAGTCTCCCTCATGTTTCCATCTTCGTCAACGACGAGACCTGCCTTCAGCTCGCCTTCCGCATGCAGCGAGCCGGACCTACCGACGTCTTCGCTGCTCCTACGCGAAGCAGGTTGCAAGCCCACGAGCCCGTCGTCGTTTTGCCTCTTAGCCCAGAGCTCGCCAATGAGATCAGTGAGCCAAGCTACGACGCTGATGCCACAGAGTGCAGCCACGATGATGAGCCAGATGGCCAAGCATGTACCAAAGAGCTCGGACGCTCGAAGACCGACTATTCGCGCGAAAGCCTCGATCCCGGTATGCACATTGCCCATGTCGAGGAGCTGATTGGGCATTGCGGGGTCGAGATACAGTGGTGACTCTCGAACACCCATCTGCGTGCCGACATCGCCAGCTGGCAGGCGCGCACCAGTCTCCAGAGCATCTATGGTCGAATTCTGAACAAGTGTTACGTTGCCAACGAGGGTCGACCAAGCAGCTTGTTTGAAGAACAAGTACGCGAAATCGGGCCACCTGAGTGCCAGCATTGCGACCCCCGCGACGAATTGAAGGTGATGGATGATATCCCAGCATCCTGGTGTGACGAATCGAAGCAGTGCCGGGCTCATCACGGCGCCTTGGCCGCTGAGACTAGAGATCAGCGTCGGAGACAGCTTATCTTTTATAAAGGTCGGCGCACCCCCCTCCCTAGCCCGGTGTTTGAATGCGCGTATCCTCGAGGTGACCGCTGTAGTGAGTGCAGCGATGCTGGCCAGCACAAAGAATGCGATCGCTGATGCAATGGGGATCCATAGCACCACCCTCCAGTACCACCGATCCGCGTTGTAGGGAGTCACTGGTACTTCGATGCAGGCGAGTGTCAGAGCTGGGCTAGTAGGGTCCACCAGGGTAATCGTAGTCCACAACGTCGTAGCTTCGTAAGACTGATTGAGAGGTATGTCAACGCCGAAAGCCACCTGTCCCGGTCCGTACTGGCATGTGCCAGCAACGCCCGGGTTCTGACTATCTGTCTGCGTGGGAAACAGTCGATCACAGACAAACGTCGTGTTGCTGAAGATCGGCACAGTGAGAATCTCTGACTGCACTTGTATCGCACCTGCATGCCAAAAGAGTGTGCCTCAGCCTTTCCATTGCTCTGCTCCCACGCCAAATCTGCCCTCGACTTACTGATAAAGCCCGAAGCGCTACTAAATGCGAAGCTTTGCTTGTCCACTGCCGCCAGACTGACCATGCGCAGCGTACCGTACGAGGGCGGGTCAATGCCCTGATAGGTGGCCGAGAGGTCGGTATCGAATTGAGACCATACAGCCGATACGTTGAGCAAGCTTTCAGGTTGAGCGTACCGGGTGAATTTGGAAGCTTGACAGCCTTTGAATGCTGGACCTGTGATGGGTCGGCGTGAGGCTCTCGTAGCGCCCGACGCTGTGGCCGTAGCTTGGGCTGATGGTTGTGCATACAGAAATGGCACTGTTGCGGATCCAAGATCGACGACTGGCACTGCTGTGCTAGTAGGAACGGCACCACTACTCGTCGTAGCACCCGACACGTTCGTTGCAGCAGCAGGAGACTGAGACGCCGATGCTGTGGGATTGTTCAGGACGGGGGTCGTTCCTGGCGCCGATGCTGATGATGAAGAGGCGCCCTGGCCACTCTCTTGAGCTTGTGCTGACAGTGTGAGAGATGTCAGCAGGACTAACGCCACGCTCCTTCTCCACATGGAGAGGAGAAGCGACCAGCGTGAGTCCTTCAACGAGCGCCGTCCAGACACCATCGCGCTGCAGGCTGTAGAGCGTGGCCCTGAAAGAACCTTATGCGACTACAAGACGCTTGGGGTGAGATTGTCCCACCAAGATGTGCTTAAGGGATGAGATGCGGTGGGATGGGGAAGGCTAGTGTGCAAGGGAGGGAGGTGGTGCACTGGCTGCACACCGGAGGCAAGCAGTAGCAGTCCTTGAGTCCGCAGCTCGTCAGGACAAAGGTGGTGGTCCCTCAGCGACGCAGGTCGCTGCTCGCTGCCTCCTCGTTGCTTCGCGTGTCTAGATGATGCCAAATTGCTACTTGCAAAGGCTGGCAGGTATGTAGTGGTGGAGCTGTCGCCGCGAAGAGTGACCTTTGTATAGCTGGGCGCAGACAGAGATGGCCGTCACAGAGGGGCGCCATCAGCCGCGCCAATCAAAGTAGGAGTGTCAAGGTCTGCTCGAGCGATTCGGCAGTGACGACGAGCGTATGGAACGGGTGAGAGAAGCTCAGATTGTGCCGGATGGTGCGGTTTTGGGTCGCATGAGAGCAAGGCGAACGGGGAATGAAAGGGTCGAGAGCGCGGTAAGAAGGCATGAATTGCCGAGTGCGACGTTCTCGTCAGTCGCAAGCTAGGTATATAGGGACGGCACCGGTACAGTCTCGAGGATGAGCGCGGCAGTGAGTGAGGGCCAAGCCGTTGCTCAAACACTCGTGACTCAAAATTCACGACTTCATTTGAGCGCGCATCTCGAATGCGGCGATTCGCGCTAATCGTTCCTTTTCTGCACGACGCCCGCCGTCGCCGCAGCTTGAGTTCACCATTCACATTGAAGATTGTGAATGGAGAGAGAAATGCCCGTGTTCATGCTGCGCGCGCGGCAGGCACGCGAGAGCGCCTTGCGCCGAAAGGCAATGCAGAGTATTCGGTGTGAAGAGGTGATGCACAGCAGCAGCAGCAGTGGCGCAGCGGCTTGAGGCAACGCCAAGTTGCAGAAGGCACGCGTGCTGCAAGCCGAAGCAGGGTCTGCTATACACTCTGACTCGTGACTGCATACATAGCTGCGCTGCTGATGATGCTTACTGCATGCAGCATGTTCTGGGAGCGGAGCTCCGAAATTGAGTCAAGATGATAGATTGTGTGCACGAATCGTGAGTAACCGTAAGTCGGAATCTGAATCAGAATGAGCGAGTGAATACAAACTAATCGTGCTTTGAAGTCCTGCTAAGTACGCCGCGGTTTTGGTTGCTGTCGTCATCATCCCTCTCGAAGCTTGTCTCTCATCCAGGCCTCATCAAGTCTCTTGAGTGATCATTCACGATTGTGTCACTGATGTCCCCTTTCTCTCCTGACTTATCCCGCAGAAACAGCCTCGCACGAGAATCTCCCCACTCATCAGAACCCTAAACAATAGCCGGCTGCCCAATCAGAGATCAGGAATAAGCAAACATGGCACAGAACGAGCCGAGTCGAATCGAAAGCGCGATCTACCTTCGATGTACTTACTTCTAAAAAAAGGCTTTGGCAGCAGGGCTGTATGCTCACCTTAGGCCGCGTCGAGCGGCGGTTTCACGATTCGGCGCAGGGCAGGCGGCAAATGCATGAACTCCTAATGAGTCGTGTAAGTCATGATGCTGGACTCGTCTTGGGTTGATGAGGTTGCTGCCTCGCATTCTTGCGTAGGTGATCACGTGTAAGCATTCTTGGATTTGATTCGCATTGGTTCGAGTCTCACGTGGCTGCATCGGCAAAAGACGATCCATCGACCAATCCAGGTGGGCAAAGTCATCCCAGCTCCGCAGTCGTGATTCACGTTGACGAGCATTGTGACTAGAGTTTGCCATAGGAAATTGAGGCCATGTTCTGGTTCAGTAGAGAGCGATATCGAAGCTCACTTCGTCACACGTCAAGGTCCCATTCACGTCCGCGCGCTTCCAAGCTGCATCCCCAACCGTACGTAGTCGGCTCACCCTCGGTCAGTCCCCTCACACACTCACGCTACGTCGTACGTGTTCCTGCATGCATCCACCGTAAATTTGCAGATCTTGTTCTCTTGCTGCATGGCTCCAACGGAATAGTAAATCATGCTCGAGCCACGCACGCACTGCACGTTTCGACTAACCAAGAATCTTCGATGGAGGAAGTGAAAGCTTGCATCAGATCAGACAGATTTCACGACAGCAGCGCAAGTGCGCAATCCGCTACTCCTCACGATGCCATATAGGGCTGATGAGGCACAGCTAGCATTGATGGCTTACGACAGACGAGAGCGCAGTTGAGTCTTGAGTGTTGATGAATTTGTGTCAATGAGTTTGAGTCTGAGATCTGGCTCATCAATCTGAATCAAGAGGTGTGCAACCACAGGCAACGATTGCTTATTCCCGAGGCGTGACCACTCCCAAGACGCAACAAAGACACCGCTTTCCTTAATCAGCAGAGTCATGCAGCATGGTCATCCTACTTTGAGCATTGCATGCCGCCGCACCAAGCTTCTAGCTGGCCAAGACGAGCAGCACTTTGAGCCGAGATTGAGTCAATTAGGTCGTGGTCATTCAGGGTTCATGATAGAGGCAATCAGCAAACCTAAAAAACTGGCTACCGTCACAGCTTCCGATTCGAGATTCAAGATTGCTTGATGACTCAGCGCCGATGAAACCTTCAATTACTTATCACTTGTCGTCTTCGCAAATTCGAAACATTGCACGAACAATTTGAATCAAGAATCAGAATGAAGCTTGACTAGGGACACACCTCTGTGACGTTTGCCTTGATCACTTGAACGGATGGGTTGCTCAATGGAATCTGAATTGTGTCTGACTCGATCAGGTGCTTTCCCCGATGCATCTCGCATCGTTATTGAATTCAAAAGCGAATCCGAGGTGTATTGTTTTTAATACTGTGTGACTGCCTCTCTCCGCTGGTTTGGCTATCAATGTATGGGAGCAGACCTGTCCTTGATTCAATGATTGAGAGGCCTTTGCAACTGAGCCATGAGTCCGAAAAGGATTGTCTACCGTAATAATAATCAAGAATGATATGATGTGTTGACCCATGCCCTACCTCTCGGCGACTTTGTGTGAGATACGGAAGAATTGACCGTCAAGGCGTTGGCACAGCTGGAGGATGTGCATGCATGCATGCTGGTGCATGGCTTCGATCGAGTCTCTGCTGCATGCATGAGTGCGAGTCGAGTGTTGGGGCTGCGCGAACCTGCATATAAGGAGCTTCGCTTGCGTCTTGGACGCGGCATCCCGACACCTTGTTCCGCTGCTGCTTCTTGCTGCACACCTCGATCCTGGCGGAGGACAGAACATGATGGCAGCAGCTTCTGCTCCCAACATTCACAATTCAGAGTCAGGAGACTGTGAGTGAAGATTTCGATCTTGTCTCGCGATGCGGCACCGATACCTCGGTCATGTCTCATTAAGTTCTCTTCCTCCCCTGAACGCTGCTGACTACATGCTGGTAGTGTAGTGGCATGCATCAACGCCGAGCTCGAGCCATGGGACAGAAGAGCATCAATTAGCGTGGCTACGAAAGCAAGAGATTCAAGGCTGAAAGGCACGATCACAGCAGTGAGACCGCCAAATGGATCCACCATGCAACGCCTCCCTCCCTACATATCCTTAGCTCAAGCCACATCCCGATTCTTGGTCCGCATGCTGCTGGCATCACAGAAGAAGAAGCGCAGCGGAATTTAGATTGGCCAGCAAGCAGACTGGGCATATCGCTGCTCTCTTCAACTCAAGACGCCGTGCATTTGCTATGAAGTTTCGAGCCGTCGAAGAACTGGAGCGGGAATGTTGAGAGCCGTCGGACCATAGAGTAGACTTTGGGCACTGAAGACAGAGGTTGTGCCTATCGTGGATGTCTGCGCAGTGTGGGATCGCAAGCCCATCTACTCGATGATGGCGTTTGAGAATTGTTGGGCCGCAGCGCAATCAAGAAAGTAATCATGGTCCAGAGATGCATGGATCGGTCGGTGATGAGGTGTCAGGCAGCTCGTCATGCAAGCAGCATACGCGCAATCGAGGCCTGGAGTCAAGAGTCACGAGTCGCCGATACAGCATGTATGCACAAAGCTGTAAGTGCGTCAGTCACTGTCGAAGATGTGAAGATTCACATCGTTCGAGCCTTGCTCTTCGGTGCAAGCGAGTCGCAAATTGAAGGAAGCATAGCAGGCAGGCAGGTAGCGAGTCACGGCGGTCCCTCAAACTGATTGATGATTGATCAAGCATTTCGGCAGCGTATACGTTGCAAGACTCTCATGAGTCATGAGTTGTGAGTCGTGAGCATCCGGCCACTTCAAGAGCTTTTCAAGAAGGCGGTGCAGTGCAGCCGCGGGAATGCATCATGACTTTGCTCCGTCCAGAAGAATGGTCGATAAAATGCTCTGGTTGCTTGTGCGCAATTATTATAGGTGGTGAGTGGGATTTTGAGAGCTTGGCAAGGAGAGACATACCTGCCGAACTCGTCACTCGCGCGTCTTGTCTTGAAACCACCACCAAAGGCACCGTCTTCCTTGTCCAGCACTCGTGATTCGTGATTTGCATGCATCTCACGACACAGCAGAAATTCGCATCGGCCGTTGCACGGGCCCATACCTGAACGTCGTGCAGGCCTTTAACAAGAGCACAACGTACCAAGTAGATTGAACCACCTGTGCGCCGAAGCTATCTCTACTCAAGACTGGCAACATTCATTTTCCCAGCGCTACCTCGACTCAACACATTCGACCAGAACACCCCCCACACTCGTGCAGACCTGAAGCACAGCAGCTCCATTTGCCAGTTCGTCTCACCGTGACCCGCAAAAAGGCACGACAGTCTTGGACTGCCGCGAAGCATTAAAGGGCGAGACGCGGTGTGGAGGATCCAAGCACCCTCACGCTCCACCTCTTCCCACTCCATTTGACGACCTTCACCTTCATCGACGCGCGACAAGAGGACTCTGCTGCTCGCGCCGAGCATGCAAACGTGGGACGGTACCACCGCGCAGTGGCCATCCGAATGGCAAATACCGCCGAGCGACGAGCATTCAGGGCCATGTGATGGTCCGCTCGTCGCTCATCCCCTCATCGAGCCATACCTCAGCATTCAACCGCCCTCGCAAATCTGCGGACCCTTCACGAGCCAGGCCGATCATTTTTCCCTCCCTGCACTGTACAATCTTGGGCAACCGGTTCTTCTAGATCACGACCCTCGTCTTCTCGGAGATGCTCAAACGTCCCGCCCACACGATGATCGCAACGTGACGAACCAGCCGATATCGCCAGAGTTGCTTGAAAATAACCTCAAATTTGGACCGCAACCCTCACAAGGTTTCAAGAGAAAGGTGAGCTTTGAACGAGAGTATTACTGTCGCGATGACATGATCGCCAATCTAATCAAGGCGCTCGAATCATGGATGCCCAGCGTCCGCAAAGTTGGTGAGTGCAAAGTCAGCCAAGTACGTTGAGAGCGCGACTTGACCCAGATGCCTTCCCAGCGACAATTGCCGTTCGCGCAAGGTACGCTGCACGCGCACACCGCCGGACAGCTCCACTACAGATCGTCGTTGCCTGCCATGCCAATCTGTGGATGGGTGAGTGGCGCTCTCGCGCTTTTGAGACGCCGACGAGTTTACTTCTGGCGACCTCTCTGTTACCAGTTCTTGCACCTATGACTATATTCCAAAAAGACCCGGTCCACAAAGCTCGTGAGCACAGCATGTCTCCCGCGTGCACTCTTGAGCGCTTGCTGACTGTCACGACTTAACAGTACGAGCAAAGTACGCCGTCAGACTGGAGGAGCCTTCAGCGCCTTCGATCCTGTCAGAGCGGAATACAGCACATGCCAGGCCTTTAGCGCCATGCGGAATTTGTTGCCTGCTTCATTGACGAGCTCATCTCACGACTCGGGCTTCGGACAGAATGGGAGCCCAACTAAAATGCTGTTCCAGCATGATGGCGGCAGCAACCCCCCTCCGCCGCTCCTGCCTACAACCTGTTTCGAGCAGACCGTGGATGCCAACGAGGCCCATAGTAGCATGTCCGCTCTCTCTCAGGACAATGGGTTCTCATTCCGGTTGCGAGCACAATCGTCGTCGATGTGGCCCGCCATCGCTTACCCGTACGACATGCAGCAAGCGAGCAAGAGCGCGCCTACAAGTAGCCTCGCATCACCAGAAGACGCCCCCGGTGATGCCCATTGGCTAGGCAAAGCTTCGAAAGGGCGAGCACGCAGCCGCGCACAAACTTTTGTTCCCGGCTGTCATTTCTCAGCAGTTGCTCCAGACTCCACACTTCAACACGTGCCTTCGAGTCGACCAAGATGCCTCGAGGACATCGCACCGCGCCAGTGCTTCTTGCAAGTTCTAGGCATGTACCGAGAGGTGCTTTGGACATCGCTGCCTCTGGCAGACTGGCCTACCTTCGCCCACGACCTTTTGCACCGCAGGGATGCGCACGATAAGACTTATTTGGCCTTTGCTTTGAGCTTGACCGCCATGACCCTATCATGGTGCCCCAATGCCTACCTACCTGAGCCCAAGGCTTTCTATTTCAAGTTGCGCGATGTTTGCCACCGCTCCAGTCGAACACTGCAGGATCGCTCTTACTCGCCTCTGACCACTGTTCACATGTCCACCCTGATCAGCGATTCGGTAAGTGTTTCGTTCGCATTAGCGCTCCAACACACGCTGGCTTACTGGTTCAGCATTTACCGTTCAGCTGTATCTGCAGGAGATAGGCCTGAACGCTGCATCGGCTGCATCGTTCGGGGAAGCTGAAGGTCTTCTGGAACATGCGACCCTGATGGATGTGGGTTGCCCTGCTGGATCTGGCCCTCGGCTTGGGTCTGCAAGTGCGAGTCATGAGGATCTGCAGCTTCTGTGCTTCAGTGAGCGGTAACCCACCAGGAGTGGCTTGAAGGTGGCCTCGCCTTTGCTGATTCATGCATATGTCAACAGAGATCAAGGGGATTACGTCCCTGTGCGATTCGCGACCGTTCGTGCATGCTTGCGACGATAGAGGAGTCTGCTCAGTGCTGCAGACGACTCAAACAGACACGTGAGTCCCAAGGTCCACCGACTCCGAGATATTTCACCCTCTCACAACCACCGAGTCGCAATGCTGGGGTCTCAGAGAGAATACGCCTCATGGCTTGAGGTCCTCTGCACACCTCACCCACATTCTTGCCGAAGTGATACAGTGTCATCGAGAGGTGCGTGATCACTCCCCTGACTTGGCCGTGTCATCTGCTGATTTATTGGCCTCAGACTGCTTTGAAACAGACACCAAATTGCTTTGAAAAGCCGCACAAGGACGCAGAGATGCCCATTAGGATTGACGGCTTGCGCTGCAGGGTTTTGGCCGTGATGAGATCCTTTGACTCGGATCTTGGAATTGGAGGTGATGCGCATGCTTTGCATGGGGTGGACGAATTTCTTCCTCTGCCATTCCCTCCTGTGCCTCGAGCCAAGGTCAGCGACGCCACACTGAGCCCGCCAAACTCTCCTTGGCCACCTCATGCATTTTTGGCCACAGGACTACCCAGCCGGAAAGCGGCGTGGCCAGAGCCGAACCAGCAGGGCGACTGTCGCTCGGCCACGATCGAAGTTCGGCAACTGCCACCTTTGGCGAAAGCGACCAAGGCGCAACGAGACTTGGCAGCTTCGAGAGTGCTGGCGTGCTGGACATCTGGTCGTCCTACAGGCGAGGAAAGGAGCTCTGCAGTGCGACAGGCCGTCAGACTTGAATTGCTCCTTCTTGTGCTCGCTATAGAGCTCGTGCTAGATGACACCGTCGCGATGCTCGGAAGTAGGAGCCATCAAGAGCATCGCGAATCAGCTTGGCAGCCCGCGTTTAAGCAAGCTGCCGATGCTTCTGAAGAATTACCCAAGGAGACTCTTGAGTCCCGAAGAAACGTGAGTGTCGTTTCCAGTAGCTCGTGCCACACCATTTCACTTTTCGGCTCATTTCTCATGCTCTCACACACACTCAGGTCTTTGTTGCACTGGTGAGCTCGACTGGGACGCCGCCACCCCATCATCGAGCTGCTTGCTGATGCATCGCCGATCATCGTGCAGCTGTCCTTCACAGTCGTCAAGCTGAAAGGAAGACCAGCAGCGCTGGGAGATGTACGGAGATTCACTACGCTGACCAATGGTGAGTCTAGCGTTTTTCGGATCCTTGACAGACAATCCTCTTCTTCTGACACGTCAGTTTTGGCTTGGGAAGCCCTCGCGTTCTTGCAGGGCTTAGCTACCCGCAAAAGTGCGAAATGACAATGACGATACCCATCCTGAATGATCCCGTTCATAGAGACGAACCTGTGCACGAGCGTCGAAAGGCTACCTGACTCGACGATTATTTTGGACCACGTGTTTGGAAGGTGCACCAGCTGAACACGCCGCGTAGAATATCCGCTCTACTCTAGTCCAACTCTCAGTCATGACGACCGCGCTCCGTGGGCCACGGCCACATTGATGCGTGCGCTGGCAGCATATAGTAGCTTTGACCCGAGCTTCTCCCAAGATTTGTAAGCCCAGAAGCTTCTCGTGAAAGGCACTCTATCACCTTCGCACAGAGTCTTCCACCGCGCGGACGGAAGAAATTGGCAGCGGAGGTCCAAATCAAAGTCACATTGACGCACTGTCATCAGCATTTACGTCGTTTCCAGAAGGAGGGATCGGCTCTCTTTTCTTGTCTTCTACGTTCTTAGAAGAAGGCAACTCGAACGCAAATTGTGGCTTGCTTAATTGCATCACCTCTGACTTTTCTCTCCCGCTTTTCTGCCGAGAGACAAATCAAGCGGATGCGCATGCTGAGTGCGTTTGCTGTTTTGCCCAATCAAATGCAAATTGCACAATCTGGATCCGAATGATTGCGACGGTGACAGCTTCGATCGGACGGTGTACGCGTCTGTGATGTGTGGCCCCTTCCCTGCTTCCCCTCCCCTTAAGAGCAGTCAAACGAATCAGAAATGAGCTCTATATGTGACTTTGTATAGAGCTCATGTTTGATATGTCGCGATTTCGATGACTTTGCTTATGACTCTGACTCGAGTTGGGCAACGCGGAGGTCCTGGCTTGGATCGAATGAGGCGTGGACCTTCACCACTCATGATCACGAATCACAGTTGTCGATCGTGTGGGAGGACGGTAGGTGCGTACTTAGGCGCCGACGCGTCTGCCCTAAACGATTTTGAAACTTTTTCGGACAACGTCTCACCACCTTGGGCTGCCATGCAGTCAGAAATGTGGATCAATGTGCGCGAAAGCGAAGCATCACCAAAAAGCCTATACAGCATATGTGGATAAATAAGTGACGAAGAAGACTTTCTGAGCGCGTGGAGCGCTTCGACTCACGACTTGATTGTCTATGACGTCTGCGCTGGCAGACGGTCACCTGGGTTTGCGAAGGCTCATTCATGATCAGCAAGCCTATATCTCCCGAAGAGTTCTCTATCCTTTGTCGAGCGTTGAGCGTTGTAAGACGCCTCGAAATCGTCATGGCATCGAATTTGAATCCAAGATTGTGATTGCCACAGCGCTCTATGTCCCTGACCGTTGCCGTTCCAGAAGCGTGCAATCATGGGCTGCTCGGGCTCGATGGGAGAGTCGTTGCCGCGAGTGCTGCTGATGCGCTTCATGCCAATCACGAAGCTTGACACAGTCGCTATGGTCGAACCGCTCGTCAGGCCCAACGAGCGGTTTGACTGAGTGTGCAATCGCACTCTTGACTACTACTAGAATCACGAATCACGAACATGTCTGGAAATCTGTTTAATGTTGCCTGTGAGGCTGCTGCTCGAGTCACTCGGTGCATGGCTTTTCAATTGACGTTCACAGCTCATCACAATTCACGATTATTCAGATTCAGATTTACATTGAGCGACTGCTCGATGCACATGCAGCATTTGATTGAGTGGCTTAGGGAAGACGATCGAGCGCGGCCGTGGGCAAATCATTTGGCATACGTGCGTGCTCGGGTGCCGTCTGTATGGGGCGCTGCAAGCTGCACGCATGACGCGCGGAGGCGCCGTTGCAGACCAGACGCCGCGGCGACTGACGTGTTGCTTGCATTTGTCGATGCAGTCTATACATGACTGCTGATGCGTCAGCGTCTGTGTCAGCCTCTGAGTAGCAGAGTAGTCAGTAACAATCTCACTAGTCTCTATAGGTTCCCCTGCTCCACTCATGACTGCACGCACGCACCTACTCACGCGTCCAAGCATTCTTGATTGACGAGTGCACGCGAGCCGCCAACTCGCCGCCGCGGGTGACGGCATCGGAAGGCGGAGCAGGCGGCTCGAGCAAAGGAGCACGCACGATATAACGGCAGCCGTACAGCACGCAGACGCGCTGCATATGGCTTCACACACAAGCCATGATTCTGCGCAAATGTGACATCCGGCGCATATAGCCTCATCAGAATAAGTCTGAGTGAGCTCGCGCAAGTATGGACCGCTCATCACCTCGCTTGTTACGGCCATGAGTCTCATGATTGGTGCGCCATCACGGCATGATGGTAGTGGATGGCGGTTGCCCATGCAGAGAACCTCACACTGGCGGTGCTTGTGCAGTCGTGGCTGCAGTCATAACACGCGCTTTCCTACGCCTGACGCACTCAAGTCACGAATTATTCTGATGTGAATTGATTGTGAATCACAAATAATCGTGGATGCATGCTCATGCTGGCGCGGCGGGCCGCCTGGTCGAGCGCGCTTGTTTGCGTTGCACCTTCCTTCGCGCGGATGCGCCGTTTAGATGCATGAAACGAGGACTCCTCAGGCGACTCGAGTGGTGCCCGAGCAGTCTTGAGTGAGTGAGTTCTGCATCATGCAGCGTGCCGCGACAGAGCGCCAGCGCGCAGCTAGACGAATCGGCCACAGGAGCAGCATCACATTTGCGTGTGCTATTGCGCGGCATGCATCCAGTCAGAAGGCCGCACGCAATTAATCTCGAGTGGATTCGAACTGAGCTGAGCGGTCGTCAACGTTGCGACACGGCGGCGGCACGGTATCTCACCGCGTTTCCCTGCTCGCACCCCGGCCCCTGGATCGATGCTCGCGCCCAGCAGCAAGCAAGCATGCAGCAGCTTATATGCCTTGCGCGGGCGGGTGGACAACGACGAAAAGTACGCCGCTCGCTGAATCGGTCGCTACACCGGTACCTGTTTTACCACAACATCGCACCTCCAACCCGCCGGCCTCTTGATTCACATGTCCACGTATTCATCTTGATCTGATCTCGTTTTCCCCTTCTCGCTCACGACCGACCGACCGACCCATCGACCCAGCAGCTTTCGCGCTTTGAATCGAATTCACTAGCTGCCCAGTCTTCTTCAGACCAGTTTTCCTTGCGCACGACGCTCCACCATCCTGTATTCCACACGTCCGCCCGACAAGATCAAGGACTTGACCCCATCGAACTCGAACACTCGAAGTTCTATCTGCATCCAGCAGCCCTGCTTCACACCAACCTTGCAACACCATCGGCATCGAGAATCAGCTGCTGTCAAGACGTGACGTATCTGCAAGCCCACGCTTGAGCCTCTCTTGCCTCTGATCTCATCACAGCGAGAGATATGATGTACACTCCGCCAGCTTCCGCACCTGCGGCGGTTGAGTTGGTGGTGGGCTCGCCTGTCGCATCTAGCAGCGTCCAAGCCAAGGAGCGAGACCAACGCATTCAGAGCGCACGGAAGAAGGTGAGTTCAGTGTGGGAGTGCAACATTTTCAGCTTGTTGCAGGGCGCGATCGAGCCTCGACTGACACATGCCCACCAATATCGCGCAATGTTTCAGCTGAAAAGCTACAGAGCAAAGCAAGCTGCCGTGGAGAAGAAG